TCATCACATAGCAAACTTACGTAACGTATTTCAAAATTTACGAAATTTTAATCTTAAATTGAACCCATCTAAATGCCATTTCTTTAAGAATGAGGTAACCTATCTAGGTCACCATATTTCGAAGGATGGTATACAACCCGATAAAACTAAACATTCAATAATCTTAAACTATCCCATCCCGAAAAGTGCTGATGAAGTACGACGATTCGTTGCATTTTGCAATTATTATCGGTGCTTCATTAAAAATTTTGCTGACATTACCAGCCCATTAAACAAATTACTACGAAAAAAGGTAGATTTCAAGTGGGATGAAGAATGTCAAAAATCTTTTGAAATTTTGAAAAGGGAATTGTTATCGCCACAGATTTTGCAATTCCCAGATTATCAAAAAGATTTTATAATAACAACAGACGCGTCCAAAGTAGCTTGCGGAGCAGTCCTAGCTCAACGTTACGGCGATTTCGAATTACCAATTGCATTTGCTAGTAAAGCATTTACGAAAGGTGAATCGAATAAGTCAACAATAGAGCAGGAATTGACCGCAATACATTGGGCAGTAAATTATTTTAGGCCTTATATTTATGGCCGAAAATTTATAATACGCACTGACCATCGACCACTAATATATCTATTTTCTCTGAAAAATCCCTCATCCAAACTTACGCGGATGAGATGGGATTTAGAGGAGTACGATTTTGAAGTGGAATACATCAAAGGCAGTTCCAACGTGTTATCAGATGCGTTATCAAGAATACAGATAACCTCTGATAGTCTAAAGAATATGTACATTATAACTAGGTCTATGACAAAGAAGAATCCACCTCCATCGCCTGACCTTCAGACACAGAAGCCTGATCAACTTCATGTGTACGAAGCTGTCAGTAGTTTGGAGGCATTTGATTTGCCAAAATTAACGTTTAATTATAGTTTTAATAAATCATGCATGGATATGATAATATATGACAAAAAATTTAGAAAGAAGCTTACTCCAGCAGTAACCCTCGCATTAAATTCAAATATGGAAACAGAATTACAAAGGGCATTACAATATATAGATGGCAGGCCTGCCCAAACAAACGCCCAAACAAACATACAAAGAAATGCGCAAAGAAATGACAAAATAAATGCACAAAAGAAGCTAGCAATTCAAATAAATGACGATATTTTTTCATACGTCAATATAGATACTTTCAAAAAAATCGGCAATGCTATTCTTAGGAATACTGCCATAATACTTTATGAAAAACCTATTGAAGTTTCAACAGAAACACAAATTAATAGCATAATTAAACAATACCATGATTCTCCAATTGGAGGTCATCTCGGTATAAATAGACTTTATAAGAAAATAAAATCGCTTTATTCATGGCCAGACATGAAGAAAACGATAACAGATTATGTAAAATCATGCGACTTATGCAAAATGAATAAACATTACATACCTCTTAAAACACCTGCCATAGTAACAACAACACCAAATAAACCATTCGACGTCGTGTCTATTGACACAGTCGGACCGTTTGCTCTTACGGAAAAAGGAAATCGCTATGCAATTACATTGCAATGTGATCTTTCTAAATACGTAATTGCTATTCCAGTACCCGATAAATCAGCTCTTACGATTGCCAAAGCAGTAATAGACAGATGCATTCTTGTATTCGGTCCCATGAAATGTATAAAAACAGATCAAGGTACAGAGTACAAGGGAGTGTTTGATGAAATATGTAATTTACTTCAAATAGACCATAAATGCTCTACAGCATATCATCCCCAAACAATTGGCGCTCTGGAACGCAATCACAAATGCTTAAATGAGTATTTGAGGATGTTTGGAAACGAGCGTAGAAATGATTGGGATGAATGGCTGTCCTTTTATTGTTTTTGTTATAATACAACACCGAACTTACAACACAACTACACGCCATTTGAAATTATTTTTGGGAAAAAATTAAACGCTTTCGAATTTTGCAAAAATAATCAGATAGAACCATTATACAACCTAGACTCTTATCAAAAAGAATTGAAATTCAGATTACAAGTTACACACAATAACGTCATGCAAACAATACAAAGTGAAAAAGTTAAAAGAACAAATACAGCGAACAGTAAAATCACTCCTTCAGACATAAAATTAGGCGATACAGTATATTTACAAATTGAAAATAGGCACAAATTAGAACCAGTTTATAACGGCCCATTCAAAGTAATAAAACTAAATCCATCAAATGCTACAATACTTGGCAAAGACAATAAACAACAGGAAGTACATATATCAAGATTGATAAAATAAATTCAGAAAAATATATATGGTAGTGCATTTCTTTCTCTGTTAGGGGGAAGGGGTGCGTTAAAAAAAAAACAACAGAAAAAAAAAATTGTGCGAGACATTTGAAGTCAAAATAATTTCCATTACATTCAATCATTTTTTCCTTAAGGGGAATGGTGTGACATGCGCAACTCACATGTCATCAATTTCCAAAATATCATTTCAGTTTTCAATTAGTAACAAGCATTTTCCCATGCCTCACTCGGACATCGAACTCCTTACGCAGCAAGTGCATGGAGCAGTTCGATGAACGCTAAAACGAATTCAATAACCCATACTCGGCGTCTAAGGATATCGTATTGCTTGTCGCCAAGGCGCACTCCGGGCAGCCGATATTCCTAGTTGCTAAGCCATTTTCAGCGCAACCGATTTAACCAATTTGCCTTCTCCAAATTATCTCTCTCTCTCATTCTCTCATTCTCTTGTTTGTTAATATCGATCGCTGATTGGTGATCGTTTACATAAACTGTCACATAATGACTTCAGGTGTCTCCCGTAGGAAAAATGTGTTAAGGAATATAATTCTGAATAAAGATTATTATTGTTCTAACCACCAACGAGTGCGTTTGTGATTTTCGGAAAGATATCAAAATCCAGAAGAACCTATAGGGACAAAGTGTCCCAAGTTGTAACACTTCTTAAACTACTTTTTAATTAGTCAACAAGGTGAAAGATTTAACCAACAGTGTCAAGTACTCCTTTAAACATGTATTAAAAAAAATTAAGCCTTAAAAAAAGCATTGTGCAATTTTATTGTTCGTTGTCCCATATTTAGTTACGGATCGTATGGCCGCAACCATATTCTGTTCCGACCACGATTTACGCAACGATTTTCGCTTGTAGACACGCACCGTCACTTCGAAACTTCACTCTGAGGCGATAACTTTTTGAGGTTATATGTCTTGTTTACTATGGCTCTTTTGTCCCAGGCAAGTATGGCGCTCTTGCCCCCGTGGAGAAGACGAATTTCAAATACGTTTTTTGAGGATCTACATGCAAAATAAGTATTTATATATTGAGGGTCGCAAAATGTATTACCGTACAATAAAATCTACATCGTATTATTAAATTTTCTTAGAAAAATGATGAGAAAAAAGCTTATTTTATGTCATCGATTTCTTATAACATTTTGAAGTTTTCGACAACGTGTAAGTTTTTTAGATTTTTTGATAATATTTACATCATAATGTATAACCAAATTTGATGCAGTATATCTGAAGGGCTTTTTTATAGCATCCCATTAATAAGAAATATCAAAAATGTATTTCAGGCTTCGATACAAGCAGGTGGCACTTTTGCCCCATATGGCACTCTTGCCCCACCTGACCCTACATTATGTAACGTCTTCAACAATGTGCAGATTTCTGCAGTGTCTTGTGCTAATACTCGACTGCTTAGTACAAGACACTGAAGAAGTCTGCAAATTAAATTAAATACGCGTATCTGTCATGGATAAGCAAATAAGGTAGTTAAATGGACATTACTAATCCTTCTCTCTCTCTTTATACAAATATTATGATTTAATCGGTTTTCTGAAGTGTTGCAAAAATAGAATCCTATGGCCAATACTGGTGCACTTCCCCTATCTATTTTAGAAAAAAAAAAAGAACGAAGATTAAAAAATAAAACAGCAAAAGGGTTTATCTTCCATTTAATTCCACTTAATTAATTTTGGTATCCATGACAGATACGTATTTCGACTACAATGTGCAGTCTTCATCAGTGTCATTCCCACTAAAGAACTTATCAAAATCTAACCCCCTTAAGTACTCATCCCCTAGGTAAAAAAGTCAAGATCATAGGTATAAACATGAAACTACAATGTGTTGAATCGGAACCTACCTAACTAATAAAAACCAAAGATTTTAAGTAAGCTAAAGGAGAAAAATCTATACAAATCTCTAATAAGGAAAATCCCCAAAGGCTTGGTAGCCATCATAATGAAGTAATGAAATTGGGTTGTTAGCGGAATGCTAAATAAAACAGCAAAAGGGTTTATCTTCCATTTAATTCCACTTAATTAATTTTGGTATCCATGACAGATACGTATTTCGACTACAATGTGCAGTCTTCATCAGTGTCATTCCCACTAAAGAACTTATCAAAATCTAACCCCCTTAAGTACTCATCCCCTAGGTAAAAAAGTCAAGATCATAGGTATAAACATGAAACTACAATGTGTTGAATCGGAGCCTACCTAACTAATAAAAACCAAAGATTTTAAGTAAGCTAAAGGAGAAAAATCTATACAAATCTCTAATAAGGAAAATCCCCAAAGGCTTGGTAGCCATCATAATGAAGTAATGAAATTGGGTTGAAATACGTATCTGTCATGGATACCAAAATTAATTAAGTGGAATTAAATGGAAGATAAACCCTTTTGCTGTTTTATTTAGCATTCCGCTAACAACCCAATTTCATTACTTCATTATGATGGCTACCAAGCCTTTGGGGATTTTCCTTATTAGAGATTTGTATAGATTTTTCTCCTTTAGCTTACTTAAAATCTTTGGTTTTTATTAGTTAGGTAGGTTCCGATTCAACACATTGTAGTTTCATGTTTATACCTATGATCTTGACTTTTTTACCTAGGGGATGAGTACTTAAGGGGGTTAGATTTTGAACGAAGATTGTAAAAATGGTACACTTGTCAAGTAAGATAATTTTATTTCAGGGTTTATATGATCTGAAAATTTGGACAGAAGAAGAAGCTGACGGTAATTATCGTCCGAAGACTCCCGGGAAATGCAACGACTCATACAACAATCAAATGCAGAGGCTGTCCAAGCTAGCAAAAAAGCACAGAAACGGGCAGATCGAAAAGGTACGTATCTATAATTACACCGTTACCGTTATAATAACCATAATGGTTTTTTTCACTGGCTTTAAATCGCTTACCAACTACTAAACAGATTGGTAACTGCCGGTACTCGCATATTAGTCACATTTGGAAAATCGTCATATTGAGAAAATGACAATTGAAGATACACTCAGGTCTTTTTTTACACGGGGGATACGGTCCGTGTAAAAAAACCGTGTAAAAAAAAACCTACGAGATTTTGATTTTTCGCATGCTTAAATGTTTTTAAAAAATCGGATTTTGATGCCATTTGTTATTAGAGCATGATATGGTCCATATAGACATATTTTAAAAATTTCTGTATTTACACCAAAAATTGTGATTTTTTTTTAAGTATGCCATTCGATTACAAATAGCTTGAAACGGATAATGTGATTGGAATCAAGTCGATAGGTTGTATCGTTGTCGAGAAATCGTTAAAAACGTAGCGTGTAAATCGTGGAAAACCGTGTAAAAAAAACCGTGTAAAAAAAAACCGCGTAAAAAAAACCGTGTATAATTTGCTGTATTTCAGCTACACCAAGTCATAATATCCAGTACTTATGGCCAAAATAGTTTTATTGCAACATAATTTTATCGTTGGTAGCTTAAATTGTCATAGACTCTAAAGTCTTGTTTTTGCATTGCTCCACGTTGCATTATATAGCCGCAGAATCCATCTCAAATTTGAAACCCGGTAAGGATCCAACATTGCCTTCAAGCTACAGACCAATCAGCCTCCTTTCAGCGCTGAGCAAATTGTTTGAGAAACTCATTCTCAATCGTTTGCTCAAGCTTGTCGAGGAAAATAACATTCTCCTTCCGGAACAGTTTGGATTCAGAAAGGGGCACTCCACCAATCATCAGCTAGTACGGTTGATGAATAACATCCGAAGTAACAAAGCTGTATCCAAGTCCACAGCCATGGCCTTGTTAGACGTTGAAAAGGCGTTTGACAATGTTTGGCATGACGGACTTGTGTACAAGCTTTGTAACTTCAACTTCCCATTACATCTGGTTAAAATCACCCATAACTACCTTCAGCAAAGGTCGTTTAAGGTATCGTTGAATGGTTGTCTTTCCGACACGTTTTCCATCCCAGCAGGAGTGCCGCAAGGCAGTCTGCTGGGCCCCTTGCTTTACAGCATTTATACTTCCGACATTCCTCCCCTTGGAGACGGTTGCGTGTTCTTCCTGTTCGCAGATGATACCGCAATAGCCGTCAAAGGAAGGATGCCTCGCGAAATAACGAACAAACTTCAACGATGCCTTAACGCCTTTGCTGATTATGCCACCACGTGGAAAATTAAAATCAATCCCTCCAAAACACAAGCGATCATGTTCCTACATCGGCAATCGCCCAAACTGAAACCGGCTCCATCTTGTACTGTAATCATGGATGGCACAAGGGTTGAGTGGTCCGCCGAAGTAACCTATCTCGGGATGTTGATCGATGAAAAGCTCCTCTTCCGTTCGCATGTAGAGAAAACTGTAGTCAAGTGTTCTACGTTGGTTAGGTGTCTGTATCCGCTGATTTGCCGCAGATCTCGCCTCTCAAGGGTGAACAAACTGGCCGTCTACAAACAAATCATAGCACCTGCGATCCTCTACGCAGCTCCGGTGTGGGAATCATGTGCACAGACTCACAGGAACAAAATTCAGGTCGCTCAGAATAGAGTGCTGAGGATGGTTCTTGATCGTCCATTACATTAAAGTGACAATTGAGTTCCAACTTCAGCTTGATGGAAGCATTGGTCTTTAACTGATGACATGATGGATACCGTTTCCAATTCTAGTATAGTTTTCAAATTCGGAAGTTTTTTTTTTTTATATCTCTCCTTAATAGACTTTCAGCCGTTGGCTGGCTCGTCTCCGAGATAAATTCGGAAGTGGTTCAATCAACTGGATCGCTAGAAAGCAGCAATGCTTGCAGTCAATAGATGCAGAGTACGTTTTCCGAGTTCAGTCTCTTCCAGCTACCCTGGTTGTGGAAGCTAATGCATCGCATTGGTTAGGATGTTACTGATACAGTAACGATGCACTATGAGAACTGTGAATAACTGACCATCAGCCGGAAAGGAATCGCCCGATATCGTCGCACGTCTTACCTCCACGGTGGTTGGTGATTGAGGGTGACGAGAATGCAGTGTGCAGTTCGTTGTCGCCACCAGGGTTGCCAAAAGGAAATCTATGTTTTTGTCCAAAAATATCTTTTCAACTTAGTTTTTGTCCAGAAAATCTGTGATGATATCTGTGTTGATAATTTGCTAATTGAATCCTTAAAAAATGTCATTTGAAAAGTGATTGAGTCATTTTTCTGATAGAAACAAAAAATAGATAAAAATATATGTATCATAAATTATTTATGGCTTGGCAAAAAAGAATACCTGACAGTTCTTATTCTCATTTTCTAACCGCAAAAAAGCATGTATAGATAAGTGGTGATGATAAAATTTCACTGAAGTGAAAAAAAAATGTTTTGATCTTAAGTTTCATTTAAAAAAATGTTTATTCATATTTTAAAAATCTGTGTAACCTATTTAAATCCTAAAAATCAGTAATCTGGGAATACAGAATCTTGGTTTTAAAAACTCTGAAAATTTGTAGAAATACAGATTTATCTGTAGTTTTGGCATGATTTATTATTATTCACGAAAGTCATTTGTATTAAAAAACAATATATATATTAACAATGCACTTCCATTTCTGATGTCGTGCTACCTTACAGGCCTATGTTCAATCAAGAAGAGTAAAGCCGGTCCTCGGTTCATGAGTTGATGGGTCGATAGGTAAAGTCCAGGTGTGCGAGCTGCCTCCCTGGCGTCGGTAGCATTGGTGCTCAGCACGGAAAACAAATCAAGGAAAAAAAAATATCAAAAACACGTTTTACAGCCAAATACTACTTTATGCAGCTAAATACAAGCTGATTTAGGTTTAAACCAGATAACTTAGCGGTTTGGTGTTTAGTGTGTTGGTGAAAAAGCGATTAGTTACGATAATTAATACTCCCGTTTGTAAAAAGTTAGTAAAAAGTAAATACAATTGGTTCTATTGTGTTTTTTTTTTATATTGTGTGCTGTGTGTAACATGCTCATCTGTACTCATGGGGTGTACAATTGTGGGGCAATGCTTTAAATGTTTAAGAAAAACTCATTTGTTATTAGGTTTTTCTGGATAAAATTCAGAAAATTCAAAAGATTTAAGAGCGAAAAAAAAAATGTTTGTTGTTTATTTCTTTATTTTTTACATGTGTTTATTTTTCCAGGCTCATTTGCCATAGCTTTGTGGAGCCGATATTCATCGTTTGGGTTACACCTACTTAAAACTAACGGGACCGATTACTCGCGGCTATCTCAAGGTTAGGGGTAACAAATTGTAACAAACGGATGGCAGGATAGGGATTGAGAAGACAAGGTTTTTGCTCTTGATCTAGAACTAATCGACATACTGGAGAAAAAGATGAACATGGGGGTACATCGATGGGGACCTAGCAACTTGAGAGAACACAAGATGACACTAACTACTAAATCCTCAGATCGATCCGTTTTAAACACACATAAATTAAATTAAAATAATCGAGATCTCGGCTCACCAAGGTGTCTCTAACGGGCCTCAAAGGTTGTTTTTCTCGGGCCCTGAGGGATGCGGATAACTCGGATCTAGCAACACAATGTAGGGTGCATGACCAAAGCACGTGGTCGATCTCGTGATAACCACATAACCAGCGCACAAATTGCTGCCTGCGAACCCGATTTGAAAGAAATGCGAGTCTAACGAGCAGTGATTGGACATGAGCCTCGACATGACACGTATAAAGTCACGGCTCATGTCCAATCCTTTGAACTACGGCTTGTTCGACACCTGTGGAAGAATAGAATGTCATTCCATTTTTGGTGCCAGTTGGTGAGGACTTGCTGACGGGTAATTGAGAAAAATTCCGCAAAGGCGATTTGTCGATCAAAAATATCACCTTCCATAGCGCCCACTTTAGCCAACGAGTCCGCTTTCTTGTTACCCGGAATAGAGCAATGAGATGACCTAGACTAAAGTGATGGTATAGGAGCAGTTGTTCATAATTGGTGAAAGCCCACTATCGTGGAGTTTATCCGGAAGGACTTCGATACAAATAGAATCAAAAGCCCCCTTAATGTCCAAGGAAACTGAAACCATTTGCTGTTTTTACGCATAGGTCAGTTGAATTTCAGTTGAATTTCAGTTGTAAGCACGCAATACAGTCGCTCGTTCCTTTGCCTCTCCGAAATAAAATTGCGTAGAGTTAACTACTCCATTTCCGGTCTATTAAGCACAACCCGCACTTAGTCTTTCTTAATCTAGCGCAGTTTAGCACCAAACGGAATGTTATTATTACTGATGGCTTCCAAATTTATTTACCTTGCCGTACGTACCGTAAGATTTGATAAAGAGAATCCCTCAACGATTGTCAAAAGTCTAACACTGCTTCTTGACGCCAAATTCGGCCTACGGATTCTAAACTCGGCCTAACGCATTGAAACGCCATTGAAACGCCAATGAATTCACTTCGGCTTATCGGATGAAGATAAAAATTAATTTGGTCGGAGCGCTTCATTTGTTTTTGGGAATAATGGGTGCAAACCTTCATATCACGCGTTCTTATTGACTTCTTTCGGTAGCTTATTTACTAAAGTATTGTACCAAACGCATAATTGACTTGTTAACTCTGAAAACATGGATTTATTTGAAGTTTTCTGCTCGATAGGACCAAAATGGGCGATTAGGCCGAAGTAGTTCTCTACCCTATCTGAAAGTAAACCATTCGACTCAACCCATTTGTCTAGACGAAAAAGAATAAATTTCGCCAACAATTTCCGTATACAGGACAGCATCGCGATGGGACGGTACGAGTTATAATCCGACGCGGGTTTACCGGGTTTTCGAACGGCGATAACTCTTACTTGCCTTCAGTCAGCCGGAACAATGTTGTGCTCCAGAAATTGATTGAATAA